TTTTTACAGCTCAGAAAAAGCCAACAAGACTCAGCTCATTACCACTGCTAACGGTTAGTGTTCCACAGAATTCAAGTCACCTTGAGAGGAACCTGCACCACACTATCGAGACACGTGCCAAGTCCACAGTGACCAAACACTCTCCGCAGGGGGAGTTTGAAAGCGTTGGAGAGGCACAGGGGAACGGCATCAACGCAAAAATGCCATTTTCCATTATGACCATACTAGCCATACCATACCAGCAGCAATATCACCCTGCAGCTCACAGCCGGCAGCCCACTGGGGCTCAGCAGTGTGAGACTGGTCAGTACCTAGATGGGAGACCTCCTGGGAAAAACTAAGGTTGCTGCTGGAAGAGGTGTTAGTGCAGCCAGTAGGGGGCGCTCACCCTGCAGTCTGTGGGGGTCCTAATGCCCCAGTATAGTGAAGGGGACACTAAACTGTAAAATAGGCGCCGTCCTTCGGATGAGATGTAAAACTGAGGTCCTGACTCTCTGTGGTCATCAAAAATCCCGGGGTGTTTCTCGAGACGAGTAGGGGTGTTACCCCAGTGTCCTGACCAAATTTCCTCCTGGCCTTTACCAATCATGGCCTCCTAATAATCCCCATCTCTGAACTGGCTTCATCACTCTGCTCTCCTCCCCACTGAGAGCTGGTGTGTGGGGGGGCAGACTGGTGCATCATCCAGGTGGGGCTGCACACTGGTGGTGGTGGGATTCCCTAGAACCTGAACAGCATTTTGAGTGGCATGTCCAGAAAAGCACCACATAAGTGTACGGGCATTATGTATAGATGTGCAATTCAACCTCGCCAGAAAAGGTGGGGGTCTGCTTTTGGGGGACCCTTTGCAAGATGAGGGATTTTGTTCTTGTGCAAGCGCAAAACAGCCTAGAGTTTGCTTTAGCTCTTAAGAGGAAGAGCTGACCTGCTTTGAGTTGCTCTTCTAGAAGTCGACACCTTTCCTGGAGCATTTCGTTTTCCTGGCAGTACAGCTCACATTGCGCAGATCCTGGCAAGAGAGAAAAGACAACGTTGTGTATCCTGAGCAGGACTGAACCGGAAAGACCAGGAGATTTTTCTTTCCACAGTCTTTAGTGGTAGCAGGTCTTCTGGTTCACTACCAGCAGAAACTGACAACTGCTATAAAAGGCACAGGAGCGATCTGGGAGATTGGTTTTAATAAAGACAGCAAAGTGGGAACTCTGCAAAGTCTTAATGCAGGCAACATACCCACTGCAAACAATACAAAGTTGTTCGATAAGTACTGTATGCAATGAAATCAAGCACTTTCATTAAGGCTTTAAAATGCAAAGTACATGAAACTTTCTAGTCCTTAGAAAATTTAGCTACACATTTTAATAGAAAATGCAATATAATCTCAAAAACATTGTGGGGATTATTGAATAGCTTTCTGCATAAAGGATTCTCACTGTATTTTTACTACTTTATTTGGCTGATGTTTAGCTCTAGAAGTTTGTCTACACTCATTTACACTGGAGTATATAGGGATTGTACTGCAACCCTTCAGTCAGCAGCTAACGTGCTCAGGGGTACAAGTGCAGTATCTTATCTGGGATTTGAACCCACAACCTTCCAGTTACGAGTCCAGAACCCTACATGCTGCTCCACACTGCTGCCCCTTGAGTGTCATAGACCTACTCAAAACGGAGAAACCATTAAACACCCAGGAAGCTGAAAAAAATATATAGTTTTGACTCTGTTTCGGAAGGCAAAGGAGAAAAGCAGGGTTGTGTGGAATGTTTCTATTAAGAAGCACAAATTCAGTATTGGACACGTGAATACTGTCCCCCCATTTAGAGCAGGAAAATAAAAATGTTCAAGTGCTCTAATGAAGCCAATAATCAGCTGACTGAGCAACTGAAGAACTGAAAGGAATGGAGGGCAGGAATATAAAACCTGCACATACACATACGCCAGCCCTCTAGGACCAGGAGTGGGCCGCATACAAGAACACAGTATTACTGCTCTTTGGGCACTAAGACCCCCCTAGTGGTCTGATGGTGGTACTACAACATGTACCACTCCTCACACCTGACAAACACCCAGAAAGGCCCGTCTCTTCAGGGCCGCTGCAACTCGGTCCTCCACCCTGCAGACTCGAGAGACTCCTTGCATGCATCAATCCATCATTTCATAGCCCCACCACCCCTCAGGGGGGAAAATAAGCTTTTCACCTTCACATAAAGTGACCCCTTCGGCAGAAGGACAAAGACGTACCTGCTTTCAGCTGCTCTTCTAGACGTCGGCACCTGGCCAGCAGTGCCCTGCTCTCCCGGTGGCTCTCGGCGCAGCCGCTGCACGACGCAGAGCCTGAGACGAGAACAGGGAAAGAGCATCAGCACGCGCCCAGTCTGCAGGACCCCTTGTCACCACTGCAATCAGCCACTACCTGCCAGCTGGGCTGGTTTACTGCCCCCGATGCAGGTAAAGACGCAACAACATCTAGCACATTTAACAGAGGTGTGCGTCTGTGCATAAGCTCAGCGTACTTAACTGAAAAGGACTCACACGGGACACCATAAAAAATAAATTATGGTTTCTTACCACCAAACAGGAGACACTGAGTGGCTACCTCTTGTTTGTAAATGTTCTCATCTTTAAGCAGCAAGGGATTTAGGGTGAGCTATGAGGCTAAGGTTGGAGATCCCCTGTTTCAGGGTTAAATATCTAGGGACACTTAAATAAAAGGGGGAACTGCTCTTACCTTGGCTCTTGTCTGGAGGACTGGCAGCCTGCTCGTCCAAGGAAGAGACACCTGGGAAGGAGAACCCAGGAGAAGTCAACCCTGGGGGAGAGGGAGTGTGTCGCTGGCCAGCCGGCTGCCGCAGGCGGGACACAGGAAACTCACCCAGATTCTCCTCCACCGGGCTCCCAGCACGCTCCCCCGCTTCAAACGTCAGGTTGGCCGACGGAGAAGAGTCTGGAAAAGCGGATCAGGCCGTAAGCCAGCTGGAAAGATCAAGAGCTCGGGAAAGGAGGGGTTGGTTTGACAGTTACAAGGCAGATCTCCAAACAAGAGACGCGCAGTAGACGACCTGGGATACAAGTGCACAAAGACCCCCAGCCACACAAGGGTCAGGAACTGCAGGATTTTCAAAAGCGGTTTCTCAAGGGCAGAACCGGCTGAAAAGCCATTGAAAGTCATCCTGCCAGTAGAGAGAAAGCATCAATGCATCTCTGTCACCATTTCCTCCAGCTCCCTGGCTGGAACACCGCCTGTCCAGGTTTCATCTGGCTGCTGTACACCTGTTGCAAGAACACTTCAATGTTTTCTCGTTAACGCAGTCACACAGGAACGTGTGGATGCAGCTTCCCTCCCAGAGTCCCGTACGTCTGGCCTTAAAGTTTTTTTCTGGGGACAACACCCTTGCTAGCGTGACCTCTGACCTGAGGGTCAAGGCAGCTCTCTGCAGCAACAAAATCACGAAGTGCAAAATGTTTGCAGGTTTTTCTCTGGCGTTTTAAGCAGGGTGGAGGAGCAGTTAGATCTCCAGGCGTCTAACAGGATGGATCCCAGGTGTAGTCCGAGCCAGGTGCCTCACTCGGAATGCTCCAGCAAAATACACCGGACGCACTTAAGCACTTTGGCCGAGAGGGTCAGGGGAAAAAAAAAGAAGAAGCTAAGAAGAGCAATGGCGGAGAAGTGGTTTCCGAGCCGCACGCGTGCTCACCATCGTTCTGGAGGGGGGCTGCGGGCGAGTCCGACTGCGGTGGGGGTCCAGCCCAGGAGGCCGCGGCGCCACCTGGAGGGAACAGGCAGGCAGAGCGGGGGTAAGCGGCGGACGTGGGATAGAGCCCAGCAGCCCGCCCGCAGGAGCCGGGACGGACACCTACCGGCTGGCTCTTCCTGCAGGCTCCCGGCTCGCCCAGGGCTGGCGATGTCCAGCGTCCGGTTGACAGGCGGGGAGGGAACTGCAGGAAAGAAACAGAAAAGGGACACCATATCAGGCCTCAGAGCCAGGCAGGTCAAAGCCAAAGCAGTCCAGGGGCAGCGGGTTCAGCGCCAGGACCTCACCTGAATTCTGTGTCCTGGGCCCAGCTGGCCGGGCTGTTTCAAAAGTCACGTTTGCAGAAGACTCGTCTACAGAGCAGGAGATTTTAAAAAGAGGGTCACTGGAGTGCCCTATTATCCCACTAAATAATACGTCCATTAGAGGGATCATAAACGGACTTTACCTTGGGCGGCTCGTTCTGGGCTTGGGTCTTTAGGGTCCAGACGGGACTGAGCAGCACCTAGGGGGAAAAAAAAAAAAAACAGCCCAAATGTGCCTGAGCCCAACGCCCACTGGACTAAGACCTCAGACGGAAGCCATGAGGAGATGCTTTAAGCAGATACTTGCTGGTTTTGGCTTCAAATTGGCCAACACAAAGGACAGGATGGGACAGACACTCATAGCACTAGCAGAGCAGGAGGTTTAGAGCTTCTGTAAATTAGTAACCCATTTTAGAGCATGATAACAGTGCCCAATGATCTCATTAAGAGCTCTGGTGGAAGAGAGAGGCGTTATCTCCACAAGCAGAGCCTGAAGATACAAGGGCTGTAAATCTTGCTACAGCCCCAGGCCTGACCACCACAGCCAGTCTTAACCTTATGTTTAGAAGCAGGGCCAAACCTGTTGACTTTTCCCAAATAAAATCTTCGGGATGCAGCCGATCCCAGTTTTTTACAAAAATCAGCTCTAGCACAAAGGTTGTGCTGGCTGACAGGTTAAACTTATGCAACAATAAGGAAAAGTCTTGCTTCTGTCCATATCTAAGAATCAGGTGATGCAATTTAACTGAAACCTCATAAGGAACTTTAAAGGTCGAATCAATTTTAATGGACATACAGTAAGAAATTAACTAGCCTTCTGGCACAGCATTAATCAAATCATACCTTTGTTTGCTATCTCTGGAGTTGCAGCAGGTGGTGTTTTTGCCCCAAACGTCACATTAGCTGATAGGGCAGACACTGTGGAGAAAAGTAAGTGTGAAACTGCCACAGAGCAAGTCTCAGTCAGCAAATTCTGCCTAGAGAAGATCACGACAGTGGAGAATGAAATATCACACAAGCTCAGCACTAAAGGGGCAAAACCTTAATTAGCCGTGGGCATTGTTCTAAATGCACTGTAATGAAATTGGAGCAGATAACTCAGGGAATGATGCATGAGCCAGTGGTCACATGCAATTTAATGTCTTTAAATTTGATTTCAATGCACAATCATATTATGCAGCTACAGGGCTAGCAAATGCCCGACAGCTTGGGAGGAAATCCTGGACAATCAGAGATCCACAAGCACATTTCCATGCTCTGCCATTTTCAGAATTCAAGAGGTGTTCCAGGATGTCGAATACAAAAAACTAAATGGTGCTGCTCTGGTTTTAAAGTCAGGGGAGCACAGGCCAGCTGCAAGCTAAAGTAAGCTTCGCAGGAATCCTGTTTATATTATTGTTTCAGGCATCATGGGAAAAGGCAGGCAACAGCCTCTAATGAACCACAAAAACATTGGATTGCAAAGAGACTGCAGTGGAAAAACTGAAAATTGTACATGGCGACATGTCCAGCAGCTCTGGTGGCCTACCTTCAGATTCCTGGGGCTGAGCAGTGGCTGACCCGTGGTCTGCCGAGGGGACAGCACCTGGACAGATGAAGACCAGCAGGGGTCAGTGGTGGCCAGTCTCTGCCCAGCAGGATCTATGTCGCGTTTATGACTGGGGTGTGCTGCATCGCACAGAACCGTTTGCCACTTCACAGCTTTACGCCGTCACCACCTACAGAGCAGCAGAGACCACTCGGTCGCGGCCATAGCGAGCAGAGACTGGCCTCTGAACCACGATAAGGAAACCGGCTCGGTGGTAACCCGCACTCCTCCGACAGGCCCGAGCAGCGAGGCTAACAGGACGTTGCACCAGAAACGTTAGAGAGCGTGGACAGAGCCCCGAGCAGCTGAAGTGATAAAGGCGATGGCTGAGCGGACGGAGCTCTGCGACCGCGGGTTCGAGCCTGGACACCGTCACCAGAGGGGAAACGGTTCCCTCATCTGCCAGCGACCCCTGCAGCCACTTGCGGTGCGGTCAGTGAGGGGACGCGCCTCTTGTCCAATCAGCACCGAGCCTCCTGCATGGGGGAGGTGTGCAGCTTGTGACGTGTTGAAGGGCGATTGGTGGCTTGAGGGGGGAGGGGCGGGGTTTGTGGAGTCTCTCCCCCCCTCATCCTCCCCCAGTCTGGCCACAGAGTTCACAGCCCAGAGCCCCGACTTCAGACACACAGGCAGCGCTTCCAACAGCCCGCTCAACAAGAACAGGTGGACAGATTGCGAACAGCACACAGCCCAGGGGATAAACACACGCCAGGGCTGCTCTGGGTAAGAGGGGGAGAGGGGGAGAGGCGGGGCGATTCGCTGACCTTTGCTCCTCTTTGACAGACACACAGATGGGGGCCGGAGTCCCAGTTTAGGTGCAGTCAAGAGGGCAGAACCTGGAAAAGAAAAAACAGGAAAAAGAGAAAGGGGTGTCCCTTAGACAGAGATGGAGAAGAGGAAGCATCCAATGAATGGTATTAAGCTGGCAGTTCATATGGACTAAGAACTATAAAATTAAAGAACTCTGAAACATTACCCCTGACAGATCCTCACTACTGGGAGGTAACACAAACCCTCTATTTGCTCCTAAAAAACAGGCGGACACTGGTAAAAGCCGATCATTATGAAAGAAAAGTATACTTGATTATCAATGAACCATTGCCGCACTGACTGGGCTCACTGCAATTACTCAGCTAGATAGCAGATCGCAGGTATAACCCGTTGGTCTACAGGCTTAATGACCAGTGTTGGCTCTGGGCTTGTTTCTACACTGGTCAGCCACGATACACGAAGATTTCAATAATTCAGGATATATAGAATTATCAGAAAGAAACAAGCCTTTTTTCTCTTTCAGTGTTGCCCTATCAAGTCTGTTTTCAGGCATCTATTAGATCAAGTGGTTTTTAAAATACAGTGCTTTGTGAATCCCTTTTGAGATGCTATACAAAAGCAACATACACGACCGACACTTGCGACTTCATACTAGAAGCAGGGACATTTTAATAGTCCAACCCTCATCATACTGGAAACAGCACCCCTTCCTTCAGACAGGTTGCCCACCTACCTGCCTGCAAGCCCTTTGAAGAGGGAGGGCCAGTCTCTCTTGACTCTGGTATCCTTCCAGACAGGCGTGTAGCTGGCCGCCTCAGCCCCCTGGGGGCCCCCGCGGACCCAGGGACCTTCGGCACAGCGATGCCCGAGGACACAGGGTCTGCTGGGGCAGAGGAACAGGCTGTAGTAAGGGCAGCAAAAGCAGTCCAGGCTGTGGGCCAAAGGCAGCGGCCTGTGCTCTTTTCATCAGGAAGCTCCTTACTCCGGTTAAGAGGGGCAGAAAGCCAGAGCTTGGATCATAAGGAGGCTCTAGACTCTAGAGACTAGTCCACTGCCGGACACAGGGCTTCTTCCTGCAAGCAGTCAGATTATTGAATTCTACCTCTTCCAGACTCACACTGATGGTTTTTTTTTGCACACTGCTAGTGCTGACCTTTTAGGCATTTAAGATGCATGTTATTTAACTCTGTTGTTTGTGCTGCTGCTGCTCTGTGTTTATGTTCGGCGTTTCCTTAATGTCGGTTTTGGAGCACGCATGCACATAACCATTTCATTGCACTTGTGCATACAACAAACACGCAGGCACGCTTATGACAGCCATTAACCCAGGAAGCAGTCTACGGGAGGTGGATAGAAACCAAAGGCCCTGGGGAAAACCCACTTGGATATGGGAAACATGCAAGCTCCACACATAAGGTACCTCACTCTGGAATTGAGCCTATGAACCAAAAGCCGTCGGTAAGACAGCAATGTTGACCACCACACCGCTGGGCCGCCCATATTCCAATAAAACTGTTACAAACCACTTAAAATAAAGCTTAAACCCCCCCACAAAAAAAAAGTGTAGCAGTTTACAGTTGAAAATACAGATGAGCCTTATATCAACGACCAGTCTGAAATGGGCTGGGGAAAAATGTCCAGTTCCCAAGTGAGGAGGAGACAGCTCAGCTAACAGCTTGCACTGAGGCCCCACTGGGATTCAGGATCCCAGGAAAACCCATTTTACACAAGACTGTGTGATCTTTGAAAGATGTACGTGGTAGTCCCAGCTCCGCCAGTATGGCTCGTGTGGTACACATGCATTTCTCCACAATCAGTCAGGACTTAAATTGCTCGGCGGTGCCTTTCTAAAGCTAGGCGACTAGAAAAAGAAAGACTCCTACCGACTTTCTTCCTCTTGGCAACAGGAAGAAGGGTTTCGTCGGCTGTTTTGCGAGCCAGCTTGGGGGTCTGCGGGCGCACCCTGCTGGAGGAGCCTGGGACCTCGGACCCTGCAGACAGGTCACAGGTCAGCTCCTCAACACAGGCCCCCCCGAATGGCCAAGGCAAAACCACCCAGCACATCTCCAGTCCGCACAGAGACCCCCCCCCCCCAGACACCTCCCTAGGGGGTTCTGGAAATCACATGCAGTCCCACAATGTGCCGGAAAAGTCCGTGCAGCGGCAGGCTGGGACTCTGGGACAGGCACACGGGCGGTGTTGCAACACACACACACACACAAAAAAATAACCTAAAGTACACCCGCTGGCCCCCCCAACCCTCACTCTCACTTGTAGAGCAAAGCCACCAAACGTTCAAACACAAACAGGGCAGAGAACTAACACAAACCCTCTATTTGCTCCTAAAAAACAGGCGGACACTGGTAAAAGCCGATCATTATGAAAGAAAAGTATACTTGATTATCAATGAACCATTGCCGCACTGACTGGGCTCACTGCAATTACTCAGCTAGATAGCAGATCGCAGGTATAACCCATTGGTCTACAGGCTTAATGACCAGTGTTGGCTCTGGGCTTGTTTCTACACTGGTCAGCCACGATACATGAGGGACGGACCTGGCGCACCGAGGAGCTCTTTGGGGTTGGCTGTGCTCGACGCCGCGGTGCCTCTCCCAGGCTGTGTCCCCGGGACCTTCGGCCCCAGCGCTGACCTGCGGGACACGGGCGCTCTCAGCCCCGAGGCAGCAGGTTTCGGCAGCCCCGAGGCCTGCAGCCTGTTACCTGAGGAAAGACAAAATCCCATCATAAACAGCACAGCCGCCAAGTCAATTCGCTGCTTTCTTTTACTTTAACAGCATCACAGCGGCATAATCCAGCTCTGCGTCCACCTAAAAGGATTGACTCGCACTTTTCACCCCCCCCCACTTTCTACACACATTGGAAGTTGTATTTTATCAAGGTGTTTCACAACTGAACGAATACGTATTCAGGAACTTGAATTGAATGAATTTACCAAGGCTACCATCTAGCAGCTCGTCCATTCAGTTAAGTGACAGATCTAACAGAGGTCACTGGAAACCGTTTCCTTTTGAAACTGGTGATTAGAGAAGATCCCCCCCACCCCCACCCCCCTGCACCGGACTGTGGTTCTCCAGGAGCAGGCCTGGCCACCCTTGACTGAACTCTTCATTATAATGAAGCCAATAAGGTTGCTAACTAAGACACTCATTCGCAAGACCGGGATCTGCAGATTTAACTTTCAACCCTCTTCTGCAGGAGCCCCGTTGTCAAGCCCCACGTCCACCCAACCTCTTAAAACCCGCTTCTTCACGGCGATCGGCCTACCTGCGGTGGACAGATGCTCGCCCCTGCCGCCGAACGACAGTCTCGACAGGACGCTCGAGGGCGCGCCTGCAGAACTCTACAGGGAAAAAACGAGCATCTTAGCCGCCGGAAAACTTAAAGTTGCAGCTTAACCAGGACAAAGCCGTTAACACGTCGTGCGATGCATTCCAACGACAATCGCTGCTGGACACCGAGGGACACAGCCTGCTAGATCACCCTCGGCGAGCCCAGACCTGGAAACAGTGAGTCCAGGCTGGAGGGACTCCAGCAGAAGGAGAGAATGTCAGCTGCTTTTGATTAACGTGAAAGAAGCTTTTAAAGAAAACCGGCAGGTTGCAGGCCTTAACGGGAAGAACATACCTCCCCCGCAGAGCTGGCGGGGGTCTGGCCACGAGCAGCAGGTTTGGGGATCCCGTCGAGCTGCTTCCCCGCAGACCTTGGGGGTTTCCGGAGGACAGCGCTGGGGGGGCAAGAGCCAGCAGCGCCGACAGGTCCAGAGGGGTACGTCAAAGACAGGCGCCGAGACGGGCCCGGCTTGGGCAGGTCGAGCATCCTGGGGTGCGAAAAGCAGTTGGCCTGCAGCCCGGTCTTAGCAGGGGGAGGAGGAGGAGGGGGAGGGGGAGGCGGCAGGAGGGACTTCCTGTTCTTGGCGACACCGGAGGGCTGGCCGCCCAGGCTGGCTCTCCGGGTGGACGTGCCGGGCTTGGGTTTAGGAAAACCGCTGGCCGCGGCGCAACTCGCCCGGGTGCTGTTCAAGAGCCTGTCGGTCAGGGGAGGGACGCTGCCTTCCTCCGAGCCGGCGCTGCTGTTGGCCTTGACCGCTTCCCTCTGCGAAGGGGCAGGGTTCGACGTCGCCCTCTGGTGGAAGTTGAAGACGTCGGGCACCGCCAGGGGCGTGGAACTGATCAGGGGGTGGCTCCTGACCAGGCTGTCGTCCGTGGACAAGATGCTGTCCAAATCGCCCAGGAGGGGGCAGACGTCGCTGCTGAAGCTGTTCCCCACCGACATCCTGTCCTTGCTGTCGGACGTGGCAGGCTTCCCCTCCCCGCCCCCCAGGGTCAGCTCCCAGGTGTCGTTCTCATTGACCGCGCCCTGGCCGGGCGCCGCGGCGAGCTCCGGGGGATCCACAGCGCCACATTTCGGCTCCGCCGCGGAGGGCGGGCAGAGGATGAGGGTCACGTTCGCCTTCGCCCCTGGGGAGCCCGCCTCGCCGCAGCCTCGAGAACCCTCTTGGCCATCGGCCTCCGCCGCCTGCCCGCCTTCCTTCCTGTCCGAGACGTTGAAGGTGCCCTCCAGGGAAGACCCCGCGTTGCTGCTCAAGGACTGGATTCGCTCCATCAGGAGGGCCACGGGGGACCTCCTGCGAGGGGAGCTGCAGGGCTCCTCAGACCCCCCCGCCGCCGCCGCCGCCGCCCCCCCGGCCTGCTTCAGCTTCACCAGCTCCATGTCCAGCTCGTCCAGATTGAGGAGGCTCACCTCCGACATCTCGGACGCCTCCAGCCCGCCGCAGGGCGGCTCCACCACGCTGTCTGCCAGGCCGGGCCCCTGGGGCGGGGGCTCCAGCTCTATGCTGAGCCACCCGCCGGCGCTGGCCCCCCCGAGCAACGGGGTGCCCCCCCGGCCGGCCGGGCTGGAGGGGTTGCTCAGGATCTGCTCCACCAGGCCCTCACACTCCACGGCAAAGAAGCTGCGGTACAGCGAGCAGATCCTGTCCAGCGGCGCGGCCTTCTCCTCCTCGGGCAGGGCCAGCTCCTCCAGCACGGGGGTCAGGCACCGCCGGGCCGGCTGCCCCGCCGAGGGCTCGCGGAAGTACCGCCGCCTGGAGAGCTTCTCGTGCACCTGCCGGAGGTGCTCGCTGACCGGGGAGAGGGCCCCCCCGCCCGCGGCCCCGGCCCCGTCCTCCTCCACCTGCAGCAGGCCGACCGGCAGGCTGCGATCCGGGTCCGCGCCGAGCAGCGCCGGGAAGAAAGCGGGTCTGGGATCGTCCGCGGCGGGGGCGATCTCAAACGTGGCCTCGAGGCTCGGCTCCTTCGCCGCGCGCCCGGCTCCCTCGCCCCCCGGCTCCCTCGCCCGGTTCGTCAGCTCCTTCAGGGGAGCCTTGCCGCCCTTCGCGGCCATGGCCACCGGCTCCCGGCACGGCCTCGCATTCGCGCTGTCCAAGCTGAACCGCCTCTCCGGGACCGAGGTCCGCTTCCCCGGCACCCCTAGGCCATCGCCGCACTCGGAACCGGGCTCCTTCGGGCCTCCCCGGGCCGAGCCAGGGGCCTCCTGCAGGTTCCACGTGTCCCTCAGAGGCCTCCGCACCAGAGCCAGCCGGGCCTGCGCGCCGGGGGCGGGCAGGGACTGCCGTTTCAGCAGGGACGGCGTGCGGCGCTGCAGGCGGTACCCTGTGCTGCCGGGATTCTCCTTTTCATTGGCCTGGTTTGGAGAGAAAACTCATTCATGTACATATATCCTATTACCTGGATATAGAGTGGGTGCAAACCTATTACCTGGATCCTAAAGATGCCTACATAAAATATGAAGCACCATTTAAAACAGTGAATAATAATAATAATAATAATAATAATAATAATAATGTTTCTTTATTAGCCCTATACAATTTCTTGCATTAGGAATTCGTCTTTTCGCATACCCCAGCATTTCTCCCTGTCTGTGTCTCCATGGAGAAAAGCTGGGGGTCAGAGCGCCCCTGGAGCAGTTGGGGTTAAGGGCCTTGCTCAGGGGCCCAACAGAGTAGGATTCCTCTGCCGGCCGCGGGATTTGAACCAGCAACCTTCCAGTCACAGGCGCAGATCCCGAGCCACAGAGCCACCGCTCCGCCCGTGTTGTATGCAAACATTTGGGCACCCCTGGTTAAAACTGCATGTCGAAATGAAAAACGCTGCAGGATACAAACCGAAACATGACAGGTTTCCGCACATTCTAAAGCACAGCTACTATTTATTTGAAAAAAAATAAACCAGTGAACGTGGCACCTGCAAAGGTTTGGGCATCCTGTCACAGTCACTACTCAGCAACACCTCCTTTGACAGAAGTCACAGCTTCCAAACGTTTCTTGCAGCCAGCTAAGAGTCTTTCTATACTTGCTTTAGAATCCACCCCAACTCTTCCTTGAAAAAGTCTTCTAGCTCAGAAATTCTTAGCATATACAAGTGTCTATGCTATATTTTAGACCATCTTTGCACCATTATTCACCAATCAGACATGAGTAAAAACAAATCATGGTCTATTGGTGACCGTATGGGGGTTTAACTCTTGCATGCCCAGTGTTGGGGTTTGAAACACCTAGCACTCGGAGAGTAAACTATTCAGGATCACTCCCTGAATCAATCTTTACTTCAAGCAAACGGCTCATGGAAAATGTTGCTCTTTTACAGCCGGTCGATATCCAAGTTCATTGAGCAAGAGCAAGATACGCTTCTGAACTCCTAAGTGCTTGTGGCCCGATACCCCTCTCATTCGTGTGCAACAGTTCCAATTGGCGCCATCTGCGGTACACAAAGCAAACTACAGCCCCCGAAATAATCGCGTTTTTTTTGGAAGGCGCTGTCTCGGAATGTAGCAGGAATGTAAGATAGGGCGCCAGGAGTATAACGACATGACAATTTTACAAAAGACGTTCAAATGCAGCCTGTTCCTTGGTCGACATTCGACAATGCTTCAGACAAACTTGCTGTAAATTGTTTAATTTCTCCATCATATGATGACATTAAGTGGCTTAATTATTTTTTTGTTTAGAAGTAAAGAAAAACGTGTCACCCAAACCAGCCACAGGGACAAGACGGGAACAGAGTTAGAAAATCACACACACGGGGAGGCTGTTCGGGTGATCCTCGTTTTGTATGTGTTTTATTGATCCTGGATATTGATCGATAAAGCTATACCCTAAACAAATCTGACAGAATGACCGATACAAAAACACTGACGAGGAACTCCTGGAAAAGATTTTAGGTGGTTAATTTCTTCCCAAACATTTGTTAACACAAAAACGTTAATTCATTCTTTCGCTTGCAAACTGTCCTAACATACTTAATCACTATTTTGCATCTGCGCATTAAGATCATTTTATTCACGAACGGAATGCTCGGGAGCTTCCGAAACCGTAAGTAAAGATAAAGTTGCATTTAGAGGAGAGAAAGGAGTTTACTTACCATTCCCGATGTCCAACTATATATATTTCTTCCGCTGATATTACACACAGATAGAGTAAAAAGGGAACGTCAGGAAAAGAAGTTTTTTTTAGATAAATAAAAGCTAGACTACTGACAACAAAAGAATTTCCAATACAATAAATATTATAATTTTAAATACATAAATGTATTTTAATATACTTATGTACTTCAGCAGGCAGCGTTATCTAAAAATAGTGTTGCAATAAAAATACCTAACTGCAGTAATGTAGCATCTACTGAGTCAGTATTTTTAAACTCATTGTGCAGTTCTAAAAACGATCAAGTAAAATATTAATTCCAAATTTCATCATAACAACACGTCCCACCAGCTACCTAAACCGGTCCGGAACTCACTTCACTTTCAAACCTTCTCTTCGCTTCTTATTGGCTGACGTCTCAAGCACCAGCCTATAGGAGAGCTCTTACGTTACTGGCCAATAGACAGCAAGAATATTAGCAAGTCCTTTTTCACCATGAGCCAATCACCGACATCGTTAATTTTTGCATTAGCCAATCCCCTGCGCGCTTCGGGCAAACTTCTCACAGTTGTTAGAATTGCTTCGCAGGTAAAATATAGCGTTTCAAATGAAAATGATGAAGTACAACTTTAAAAGAGGATGCCGCTTAACAAAGTAACAGAAAATATGAGTCATTCAGCTAACAGTTGAGAAAAAAATTGCAAATGGGCTCTAGCCAAGCAACATTTGTGTTAGGCATTTTTGTGTACTAAAAGAAGATTCAGAGCTTATGTGATACGGCTGCAAAATATTGCAGTTTAACATTTGATAACGTGATTTTAATTGGAGCGTCTCGTAAATGACGATGAAACGGTCAAGTTACAAAGAGAGGTGTGGCTCATAAACGTGTGTGTACTAACACAACTCACACGACATAAAGGGAAGACCTGCATACCATCAGCACGATGTGGTGATTTTCTTTCGTAGTCTCATTTCTTTAATGGTATATAAAGATTAGATATCAGTTTTCTTAAAATTATATTTAAAAATATTGTGTCCTATATATAGCTCATGTAGGCGCTTCACTTTGACTTGACAGAAACCACCTCACTTACCGACAGGAGAACAATCCAGCCCTTCCGGTTTAGCACACGTGTTTCCGAATTTGCCCTTTAAATAAGTCACACCCCTTATTTAAAAATAACAGGGCCTTCAAATGTTACAGGACCGTGTTGATTGTCAAATAAATAAAGCATCTAAAACAATAAATTCAATGCACAACTTGCAATTGTTTGCAGTATAGCCTTTTGATATAATAATGGGACTCCTATATTTTAGGATAAAAAGTAAGATTTTTATCAAACGGTAAAATCGTTGGGCAACATTAAAATTAATATCAATTTGCTCAGTACACTATGTTAGGATTCGCCTGAGCTAACTGCAGGTTTGTAGACTGATTCAGTTTTTTAAATATTTGTAGAATGTTACAGAGCCGAAAGAAACCTATCGGTCTATTCATTAGGCGTTACTGTTGACTAGAGTAACTTTATTACTAACATGTTTCTCAATAGGAATACTGTTGAACTGAAAACTCTTGTTTTATTATAAGATGTCCCCCAAGCCTGAGAAAATGTTGACGCTAAATAACGTATCAACAATGGTGATAAATCGTAGTTCAGTTTATATGACACAGAAGCGAACAACGCTCGGGGTTGAGTAGTCGAACGAGCCACCTATTAATATATCAGGTGGGTAGCTGCGTCAGCATGCGCGCCTAATAATAAATATACACATATGCTTACACATCTACAGCGCTTTTTCTGGACACTCCACTCAAAGCGTTTCATAAGTAACGGAGGACTCCGCTTCATTTGTCAGTACTTAACATTGAAAGCATCTTAAAATAGATACTGTACTGCTGTACATTCATGGACAAATCCACATTTAGAGTAAATCGATTAATTCCACCTTTTATGAACACCGTGTTAACTCCATTTTAGTCTACATGCACTCAAAATGAGCTTTAACAGCATTAAACACTATTTCTAACTTGTATCAATACGCCAATGTGAGCCAAGCCCTGATGTGGCTCATATCGTTAAGGAATGCTAGTTTTATTTCCATCTGTTATGGAGCTGTTGTCTTACATTGTGTGCACGGGACCTTGGAATTTCAAAGTTATTACAATTATCCATAAGATAAATCCCTGACACACACTGTACCTATTAAACCAGTAGCTCCAGGGAGCTGTGTTTGATAGAAAAACAATTCTCGTCCTGATGAGGGTTTTCTACAAACTTTACCAAAGGATTTGGCAGATGCTATGAACCACTATTATGGTATCATCCCCATTTACGTTGAACAGATTTAACAGCAATAAGTGAATACAAATGTCAACGTGAAAATAAGATACTGACGTGAAATACAGACTCACACCTAAACAAATGGATGTGTCAAATGGCAACAGTTCTGCTGCATTTCTTGCTCTGCTTACTGTACGGGGCTTTGAATTTGCTTAAGGCATGGGTGCACTGTGCTGGTCATTGAGGGTTAGTGTGTCTGTGAGGTTTCATTGGAATATCACTCTTCCCAATCTAAACCATAAAGATGCCTGTTTAACCAGATCACTAGATTCTCCCAGCTCTTCAGAGGCTGCTGCGCTAAAACAGGCAGAGAACAGCAGCAGACACACTGACCAGCCCTCCTGGATGAGGGCACACACCCCTGCTGTAAAGAATTACCAAGGCAAATCACTACATGGTCTTTGCATCCAAAAAGGAATAGACAGTATGAAGTCACGGCATAACTGTATGAAATGCTGAATGAAATAAATCAATTTACAAGTACTCACTGTACAGTTTTTGGAGAGAAAAAGACAAAGACTTTGTTGGTTTTCACAGTGGTTTAATATGAACATGATTATCTGACATTACATTTCTTGACAGCAGATCTGAGACAATGCTTTTTTAATTAAAGCCAGGACTAAAATTCACAGCAGTTACATACATGAAAAATGGCTAAATAATAAAAGGTGTATATAAGGATAATGCAATAACAGGATATAAAACATACTCTGCTGAAATTATTGGGAATTAAAACAAAATGGGGTGGGATGTTAAGGAAGACTTGTCCCATTTTTTTCTTTATAAGCGCTACAGTTGTCGAGAGTGATTGGGCCATACAGTAATGAATTGGGAGAGTAGTAACCTCTTGCACCAGTAAAATCACTGCATGTCTTTCCCAGCCCTGACAGATATGAAATTCCCTAACAACTGTTAAACATGTTAACCCAAAATGGGTCTTTTTTTTTAGGACGTTTGGGCTGGCACAGAAGGATTGTTCTTTTTCTCTTACTTGAGGTAGCCAACTTTTCAAAGAAAAATTAGTAGATAACTGGAAAGGTAAATATTTCAAACACAGCAAATGGTGTGGCTTACGGGGAAGCTAAAAATCTTGACTGTCAAGAAAGACACAGATTTGAGTCCTTGTACTGACATAGGCACATCTGTCTTTTCAGTGTCTCAGAGAAATTTCTTTGTGTTCACTACAGTAACAACAAGGAAAGGTGCTTATCAGTTCAAATGCAGGAGAAAGAGGACCGCTCCAGAGCTCCCCCATATTAGTGCAGATGTTTTAATAGCTGCGTAATTGTGGAATTTAACATCTAAACGGTGCCGGGATTCCAATACTGCTTGAACTGCAGTTATATCAATCACATCTCAACTGCTGAGCAGTTTTGTATTTTGGCCAGAACATGACAAGAAGCTCTTATAGTAAAGGAGAGTAAGGAAACAGTCTACTAACTAAAAATGTATACATTTTCAAAGCGAACTTGTGTGGAGCATTTACTAGATCTCAAAGCCCATGCTTGCTCTGAATTCAAGACTTTTTTTTTTTAATGTGCATGTGCACCAACAGTCACCCCCCAAACAGGACACCTAACATCTTCAAGAAAGAAGGTGCTGACAGAACAAGAGAAGGGATTCAATCAGGAGAAACCATTGTACTGCAGAGGGGGGGTGGGGGTGGGGGTGGGGGTGGGGGGGTTGTGCACACGTTTTCAGGGGAAGTCTGAACTGTTGGTGCCAGCTGTCTCAGCAATAACACGCAGCATGAGCTGTGAGCAGACACGTTAAAGATTTAATGTTTTAGAAAAACGTATCCTTACCGACCTCAGTGGAGCAGACAGATATAGGCACGCAGCCGTGTCGAGGTCTCCTTAACGGCATTTTGCTAAACGTATTGATATATACATTATATACATATACATACAAGGAAAACAGCTGAGTGCACCCTGTTGGATCACCTGTTGTTGAGGCAGCACGGGCTCAATCATGAAGAGAGAATAAAACGAACTGCTAGGCCCTGGTGTGATTGCTCAGCGTCTCTGGATCACTGGTGCTAGATTTAAGATGAAAATAGATCAGATTCCATTTAAAGTCATGCAGATTAACTGTAAAGAGGCAACTGCTGGGGGCTGTAGGATTGGCACAAGGTTATCGATACAATCCGAGGTCAGGAAGCTCCCTTTTGCCGGACCCATGACCCCAGTCTGAGCGCGTGCAAAGCTCCCCACCGGAGCCGAGGAAAGCCCGACTTCGAAAAGGTGGAGCTTTTTCACGAAGAGTTTCAAAATCAGCAGCAGCCCAGCACACAGATGTTAAGTGCCACTGAAATACCCTTGTTCTTAAATTCTAAGCGGAAATCAGAAATAAAAAAGCGTCACCTGAGTTTGTAGGGTAAATTACCCGAAAGGATCCAAAATGATTCAGTTGATTTACAAGGGGTCGAAATTCTGTTCAGTTCTATGCTCTAAAGAGCACGCTACAGGCATTAAATGAAAACCTCTACGCATTACTGACATTGTTTAGCACAATGTTTTGTGACGACAGCACAGCGAACAGGGTATTCATCAGCGTGAAGCAGGGCTGCTCTACCTGCACAAAATATTGCCAATTGTGAATTTCAGTTTATGAACAGATTTTCTGGGGGTTGTAAAATCCCAATGAAATGAAAAGGCCTGGCTTTGCCTTGAAAAAAGCTTCACCTGACCACAAAACAGAATAATGCAAAGGTAAAAAAGAACAGAAGATGGCATACTATTCCTGTAAAGCAATGTTTTAACATGTTGATGTGAGTATACTCAAATACTCATACTACATAATTCCCCACTCTCCCTGCTAGATCAAAAATAAAAAGAGTTATTAAAGCACAGAATGAAGGATGTTAATGCCCCCCGTATAACCTACTTGTACTCCAATCCCCTTTAATGCGTTTGGTGTAAGAGGGAACAGCCTCTGTGTTCTGTAGTGTGTAGAGCTCACAGGCCTCTGCGTGTAGGCATGATGCCATGACATTCAGTCTTCATCCAGTCAGAAGAGCAGAGCTCAGTAATTGCAATAAACAATCACCCAAGTAGGCAAAATAACCTTCCCTTATATATGCTCAGCATTGTCAGGCCTCAGGCTCATAGCCTTGATCCTCTTACTATATTTAACAATTTTTGAGAACATCCATCTGAACAATTATAGATCTTATAATAAACCCATGTGTGTGTATATATAGATTTTCGTACTCCCTTACATCATAGCTTAAACCTGCTACCTGTTTATGCCAGCAGTAAGTCACGGAAGCAGAAACCTTTCAGGATGAGTTAATCTCACCCTGTTGAGCTTACTTTTAAAAAAGTCAAACAGTATTAAAGAAATGGACATTTCTGGCAGCGCTGACAGAAAAAAGTTTCAGGGGCTCACATGTCTACTGGTATACCAAAAAAGGAAAGCAATACCATGTCAGGCCCGAGAAAGGCTATGCCCAAGAAAGCGCTCCAAACTCATTCGCCTGATAAGAGGGGTCTCCCCCTCACCGCTAGGCCAATTTGGATGTGATTCTCGAGTGCATCAGCTGAGATTTGAAACCTTCCTCAAAACATGACAGAAGAGTCTCATCCAAGCGTGCGATCACATCGTGCCAACGACCTCGGAGGTGGGGGGGGTTATAAAGAAGCAAACAGGGGTGGAGTCACAGGTAGGGCAGGTGGGTTTTTTTTCAGAAGCAGAGAAAGAGCAATTGAAGAATCAAGATACCCTCCCAACTTCCATGACAAAAGCCTCAAGCCTAAAGACATTCAATAATAAGCCAGCGGTTAAGATGGCTGCTTATTAAAGAGATAACGGGATTTTTAGGCTTCCCACTAGACGGGAGAACAATGCTTCCCCTGTCCTAATGTCCTAATGTCCTATTCCCAATCACTCCACTGTGCCCCCACCACCACCTCAGTTTCAGTTTCTAATCCCTGTTTACAAAAAAGAACAAACACGCACGAAGGGGAAAAAAAACAGTCCAGTAGATCTCCCAAATAATACCGCTGACCATTTAAAAAAAAATAAAAAATAAAAAAACGTCTAGAAACGAAAGCTTTCTTTTTATATTTATATATATATTTCTTAGTGTAAAAATAAATGTTATTTTGCGCAGGTGAAAGAGGTGGAATGGAAGAAAAAGAGCGAAGCGAGAGGCGCCCCCTACTGGCGTACTTTTCCGGGGATGTAGTTCCTGTCGATGCTCTCCTCCTGAAGGAACATGTGCAGGCAGCGCTCGTTCTGAGCCAGCGGGTGACCTGCGATCCTGCAAGCAGGGGCGGGGGGGTTGGTTTGGGGGATGGAGAATGGGGGGCAGAAAGCGAAAACAATAAGCTCAAGGTCAAAGGTCATGCCACAAACAACTGCAAGTCTTTGTTATTGTTACTGGAGACTACTTTGTAAACCTTTACCACTATAAAAGGGCAATACATTTCAGAGGTAATATTTACTGACCCTTATTTTATGACCCGCTAGGAGGTTTTTGAGACAATAAAGGTTTTGATTGATGTTTAAACATGCACCCTACCTTATCTGCTGATGAGGTGATTGTTGGTTATGAGTGTTAATGGTCAGTTAACACTAAACAGCCGCTGTTGATGGATCAACAGAAAGTCTCTGTCTGCTGCAGTAAAGAAATCCCCAGCGGAAAGCAGACAGCCCAGAGGAGATTTAGAAGGAGAGAGTTCGAGGGCTGTGGGTGCAGAAATGAGGAATTTCTCAGGGCCGCGTCAGCGTGCAGAGGGGTGGGTGATGCCACGTACCTGTTGATGAACTGCTCGAGACCCGCCCGCCGCTCCTCGATGAAGGATTCTTCGAAAATTCCCTCGTCCCCCCGGAAGGGCAGTTGTCTCTTCAGGGCTTTCCCAGGCAACGGAGGCACGACGATCTGTAACGCACAATAATTAATAATAATAATTGCTTACACTTCTATAGCGCTTTTCTGGACACTCCACTCAAAGCGCTTTACAGGTAATGGGGATCCCCTCCACCACCACCAGTGTGCAGTCCCACCTGGATGATGCAATGGCAGCCAGAGTGCGCCAGAACGCTCCCCACACACCAGCTCTCAGTGGGCAGGAGAGCAGAGTGATGGAGACAGCCCACAGCTAGGTAGGTCCCTTTTCAGAATGGCAAGGGCCACCATTTGTCTTGACCATCCCACACTGGAGGTGGAGGTGATGTGGTCAGCATCACGCTCCGGCCGGCCTGTTACCCCCAGCAGGATTAACCCCCCGTATTCACTTGGAAAGACGAGTGGACCTGGGAGCCACCTGGATGGACAGGCTGCCCGTCAGAGCCTCACTGCGGCCATGGCCAGGAACGCCCCTGTATACAGCGCCGACACTCCGGCTGTGCAGTATTTTTAATAGCTAAGATTTCAGCTTTGTTCACTAATCGTACGCTCATATTGCACAACAACATCGCATATAAGACCCTAAATGTGTCACGCGTCCCATTTTCAACTTAAACTGTAGGTAATGCAACTGTGAAAAGAATAATCATTTTTCTACACAGCAATGCATTTTTTTCCAGTGACGACAAGTGTGCTCAGATGACTTCTTTAATGCACCTGCCCCCTCTCACCTTACTGTCTCGCTCCAGCTCATTCTTTAACCACTCAAAGTCGCTGTACCTTCTCCGCACACAAGACTCCTTCAGCTTGAAGATCGGGAGGTTGGTCTGTAGGTTTGACAAAAAAACAAATTCTTAAAATGAAAAAAACTGAAGCAAAAGATGAACCAATCCCCCCGTGCAACTTCTTCCCAGAATCCCAACTGCTAACCTCCGAAACACCACTGAGATATAATTGGTAAAGCAAAACAGGGCACAGACCTGCAGAGCACTAGGAATACTTTCCTGCTTCTAATATTGTCTTTGAGTTCCACAAGTGCTTTTCTACCCAGACACAAGACCGGGCTAAAGAGCATCTCAAAGATGAACAAGTTGTCTTGAAAGTGTAATCTTATGGCTGGTAAATCCAGATTCCAGTCTTCAACACTTTGGACTTCCCTACTGATGATACACTGAAGGATAAGCAAATCATTTCAATCTGGGACAAAGGCCAGAGGATAAAAACACTACATATTGCTGTTCTTTAGTCTTCTGTGGTTTAACAATTTTAACACATAAGACCTTTTATAATATCACCAGCATATTTGTTTCTTTAAAGGTTTAAAATAGAAGTAAAAAAAATCCAGGGAAACCAGAGGAGGTCTTATTTTTTTTAAAAAAATGACAACTATAAAACAATGAAACGACATTGCTGCTGCGATACAAGGGAGCTCTGCAAAGATCAGTTTTAGTAACTAATCTCCAACCTACACAAAAATGTAAAATGAGCTTTAAATTATGCTACACTGGGCAGACAACTCCTTGGACACGCATGCGTATTAGTTTAAAAATCAAAATGAACTTAAAACATTTTTAACATTATAAAAGGAACAGGTTCAGAGAAGCCTAAACGGATGTAAAACCAAACCAGTACAAAGTGAAATACTTGATTATGTTGCTCACAAGCCACCCATAGGCTACTAATCCACAGTTTATCATCTGTCTGCTGCCCTACATGTTCCCAAACTGTCAGGTTACACAGTGCGCCTCCTTCCACCCCTGATAAGTTGCTTCCCAGCACTTCCCTATCTCCTGACTCCTGATCCACAAAACGCAAAGACAAGGAAAAATAGGACAGAGGCTCTGCTGACCTTCCCTGCTTTACAGAGGTCCTGAACAATACAGAACAGTCTGACAGCAGAGTCCCAGAGCAGGACTGCACATCCGCCCGCCGCTACGGCAGTGGGGACATTTCCAGCGCGACAGGGCAAGCCCCTGAGAGAAGCAGAACCTCCCGGGTCAAGGCCTTCGAGAGATAGAGCCCCCAGGGGGCTCCAATGAGGCCCACTGATTCAATGCGGCTGCAGCGCACTGATGGGATTTGAAATAAAAAAACAAGTAGGTCATTGCGAAACAGCCCTGGGGAAAAGGGACGTTTAACCACAAGTCTGCAAGCTTCTGATCACAAGGACGCCATTTGCACATGGCCGCCGCCGCCGCTCAGGGACGGCATCGGGCCTCCCTCGACTGCGCCTGGATCGTCAGGGACAGTTGGCACCCCCGTCTCGGGCCGACTGAAAACCTGGCACCGCCCCCCGTCCCTCCCCAAGGACGCGGGCTGGTTTTCTGTTAGAAAGCAGCAGAAAGGTGACGTGGCCCCCTTTAGAAGGCAAACAGCAACACTTCCACTGACGGCACCGGCAAGCTCAATGAACTTCGATACTCCAAATTTGCTTTCAGGTTCAATCCCTTTAAGCCATTGAGAGCTCTTCCACAACGTGACTGAAAAAAAAATCCCTCTCCCCAAAAAACAAGCCCGGGTGACCAAGGAATTTACAGCCAGTTTACCTCACTTCCTCACTAAATATAGCCTGACCCGTTTTCCTGCAAACTACAGCAACAGCTCGGTTCAAGAAACTACTGGGAACAAATTTCCTTCCTACCAAAGTTAGCCAGCACTTTGCTCAAGACTAGAAATAAAAGCTATAATCACATTCCCAAGCCCCTCATGACAAAATCGCATCTTACTGTGTCTTCGGCAGCAATGAAGTAATTTAATTAACCGCCATTGTGTCAGCCAACATGACTGTCTAGTGCTAGCAGCCATGCTGGGCAAGAAGTGCTGTGTCAGTCCATCTCCCTGGAAATGGGAATGCAGGTCAGGAGGAGGCCAGAGGAAGGAGAGACGAGGAGTGGAGGGCTGGTGGGCCTGGGCCAGTACAGACAACCCGACAGCCCATTTCTAAACCAGGAAGAGGTTCATTCATCTGGGTTAGCGCAGAAAACCTGATGGATCACTTTTAAAGCATGAAGACTCGAGTCCTTGGTGCAGAAGACTATTGACCTCGCTGTGTCTTAACTAACCACTCCCTAATCAGCCATCACTTAGGTGACGACAACTGGCTGTTCTAGATTGTTTTTAAAATACACACTTGCAAAAAGATTTCATGGTTTCAGCTACCTCCATAGTTATATTCTAGGATGATAATTTCCTAGTTACCCCCACACCACCAAACCTTTCTGGAATCTATTCCCTTCCACCTGTTACCACTTCGAAATGCACTGCTGTGTCTACGTGTTGTGGCGTTGTCTGTTCTGTGCTGTGTGCTGCACTGTGCGTGTCCTGAGAGAACGGCACGGATGACAATCCCATGGTGCACGTTCACATGTCAAAGACACTCCTCTCCCTACCTAAAGTGATTACCGTGGAAATCACCTGCTTCACTAACCAAGACATTACTGTAAATATTGGATTTGGGTTGATCGGCACTTCGCGCGGCTTTGCCTTAACCAAATGGGATGCCCTGTGCTTCAGAGGCCACGGCAGTTTCAGAAATCAATGACCCTTCCACTTTTATGGAATAATGAAAACACCCCCCTGGGGATGAACACAGCACTTGGAACTGAACCGAATCCAAGGCACCAGCTCTCTCCACCTGCTTTAGCTGCATTCCCTGTCAGAAGCTGGGAAAAGCGCCGGTGAATAAGCAGGGAAGAAAAACCTGAGGCGTAATTAGTGGTGACAACACAGGCGCTGCAGAATGCAATGGCCCCATTATTAAATTTGAGGAGAGCAAGTCTGTTTCTTGTCTTGACTGGCCCCTGCTGCAACTTGCAAAGGCCACATTCGGAATAAAATATCCAGTTACCGGCTTGGCTGTTCCAGAGCTGCCATGACAAACATTTTCGCACACCTCAGACACTCTATCAGGGTAGATTTATTAGCATGCGTAGCTATCCTTCCAACCAGAAAACAGAGCAAATCTACAGCAAGACCGAGTGCTTTTATTTTCAACCAAGACAGCAGCAGGTTACCTGCAGGGCAGAACCTGGCTGACATTTGCCTATCTGTACAAACAAAACCCTAAATTGTGCTTTCTGTAAAGACCATGACAGTGATAATTTAGCTTGAGAAACAGAACCTGCCCTGAACATTAAAGTCCAACAAGGTCAGTAATAAGATATTTAAGACACACTTTCAGCTTGACACCTTGAAGCATAGCCTGGGTGAGATCTGGGGGAGGAAAAAAAAGTGTACTTTGCCCTAATCAGCAGGCAAAGAAAAATATGCTGATGTGACAAATTATAGCTTTCATTTTAAACACGCATTTTAAATACAGTACATACTCCTAAATCGTTACAAAGAGAATGCTAGACCTGCTAAGAATCTTCCTCCGCATACATACTTGTCTGACCATTGCTTCGTTAGCTAAAGACAGGCCACAACTACAGAAAGTTAACCAGTGAAAGTGTTGCTTTTAAAACATTTTTGTTTGCGAGCTAACCACAACACATCGCTCAAGATTCCCGAGTGGGCTCGAGTGAAAAACGTCAATTACATCCAACATCCCTGAACTGGAAAGCGCAACTAATCTCGCAACATTTCAAAAAACGATAAACACGCCCAATCACAGCAAAGACCGGAACAAAATGTATTAAGGGTACAACCGTGTTCTAGGAATATATTGCCAGCCCTTCCCCATTTAGTGCATCGCCTGATTTTCACCACCCCTTCCGCAGACACGCCGGAGAGATCCCGCATTCCTGCCTTCTGCATTAGACGACTGAGGGGCTACACTACCCCCCAACTATCTTACACATCTGAACCTCCACAATTTTGATCCTACTCTTCGAGGAAATCAATCGGGAGGTTAGCTTCCCTTCCAGGCGTGAAAACAGCCATTTCGCCATCTCCCACCCCGGCTTGTCTCGTCTGCCATGTTTCGACGGAGGAACCGACTGCGACTACTATATCACCAGCCCAGCACTAAATGGATAAATAACAGCAGAAAGCTACTGGAAGCTTTTCTTAGATATATATACACGTCTGCATATTTCTCTCAACTGCCTTTCTCCCAGTTAACGGGCTCATAGTGGGTCTACGGTCATTATACCGCGCAGACAAAGATCTTCCTAGAGTTCGGGGTTAAAATCGTCATTCATTCGCACGACCTATTAATCTCCCGTTTCCCCATCACCTACGCCGTATGTGCATCTCCCATGATTACATTCTAAAGGATGGAAGGCAAAAAAAAAAAACATGTTTCATCTCATTTAACAGACCCTCCCTGCCTGGGGTTCCGTTTTCACTCGCTATACGCTGGTAGGCCCGATCTTCATCCTCGGCCTCGATTTCTCCTCAAGAGGGCGACTCACCCGCATCCGCACTTCATAGGTAGTAAATCGGTTTCTCCCGACCCCGACGGTCTGGGGGTCGTAAACGTCAATTTCTAGGAAGTTGCTGGGAGGCCCGTAAGCATCCGTGAGATCCTGAGGTTTGGAGTTTAACCGGCGGGTATCAGCGACCGTAGGCTCCGACATTTTCAGCTGGCGAGCTGCCCCTTCGGGTCGGCGAAGGCAGCGAAACGGCAGAGGGGTACACGAGATCTGCCCATTCTCTGTCGCCACAGCCAATGGCACTCGAGGAAGCACTGTCGCCCCGCCCCACAGTTTGACAAGCGGTTGTTCGGACCAATAGAAATAAAACAGCAGGCACGACCACCCGTTAAAGTGTGTCGTCATGTCCGTCTTGGCCAATAGGAAATAGGAAAGGATACAAACCGACTACAAATCCCAGAAAGCCGTTCTCATCGGTCTTTTGATAAACTGTAGTAAATCGTAAATTTGCCCAGTGTTTTTCGCTTTCGGTATTGAATTAATTGCATATTTAAAAACTCACTATCAGTATACAAATTTGTGATTTTATGTACCCAGTAACCAACTCTGAAACGTTGAAGGTCCTGTAGTATCTCAGATATGTTAACTTTACACTGGAAATAATGGATTTTAATTTTATGAGCTGTGGCTCTTGTTAGGTCTTTACCTTTTAAACGCAGTGAAGTGCCTGACCTAGGCAATATGCCCGTTTGGTGAGCGTTTGATCCAATCAGGAGCTGTCCTTATAACTATGCTGAAGACGTTAGAGGAATCGAAACGATAGTATTTTATTGTGTGATCTTTCAGAAATTTGTCTGGCATCAAAGCAGATATATTTTACACGATCAAAAAACTTACAGAACATACAAACATGACACTGTTGTAACTCCCTCTTTTGTGGTCTGCCCTTAAGCACATTCATTCAATTACGGGTTCAAGAACAGTGCTGAACAGTGCTGCCAGGGCATTCACCAGAGCAAGGCAGTTAGACCATACCACCCCTATTCTAATAAAGCTCCCTTGGGTCACCATCCACCAGAGAGTGGATTTTAAAGTACTGCTTCCTGGTTTTTAATGCTCTGAAGGTCCCATCTACCACACTGACCACCTTCTTGTTCACACTTCTCCCCAGTCTTTAAGAGCAAGTCAAATTAATCTAACCAGCAGCCATATCACCCTGCAACTCACAGCTAAGCAGGTGTGAGCCTGGTCAGTACCTGGATGGGGGAGACCTCCTGGGAAAAACGAAGGCTGCTGCTGGAAGAGGTGTTAGTGGGGCCAGCAGGGGGCGCTCACCCTGCGGTCCATGTGGGTCCTAATGCCCCAGTATAGTGACGGGGACACTATACTGTAAACAGGCGCCGTCCTTTGGATGAGATGTAAATCCTGACTCTCTGTGGTTGTTTCTTGAAAAGAGTAGGGGTGTAACCCCGGCGCCCTGGCCAAATTTCCCATTGGCCCTTACCAATCATGGCCTCCTAATAATCCCCATCTATGAATTGGCTCTGTTACTCTGCTCTCCCTGATCATCTCAGACATGCAATGGAAACCTTTCAAAGATCTTAAATCCCTTCTCTACCAGTAAGCCTATTAGCTTCCAGTACTATAAACAGTCTGATTTCCTATCTTCTGTCTTTTCCCTCTTAGTCATTTTTAAGCTCCATATTTTTCTTTTAGCCTTTTTTTTCATATGAAGCATATTGAGATTCACTGTAATGGAGTGTGATACATACATTAACTGTATTTTTTACATATTCACTTTGTATTAACAGGACTGTATTCAAGTGAGTCAAAATGGAAAATGGATATTTCCAGACAAATACCAGTTTAGAAAATGCTTCTCTCGCTTTTACTTATGACGGTGCTGAATACATTATATATTTCGTTGTACGTTACTGACGTCAAACTCAAGTCTGGATGGAACTGGACGGGGTTCGGTACTCTAGCGCCACCCAGCGGCGAAACTGTGCTATTTCTTTGAGAATCCTACGCATTACTGTACACAGAAAGGCGACAACAGGTTTTCATTTTTTGCAAGGCTATGGTGCACAATCAGAATACTTTTGTCCCCCAGTCCTCCCATTTCAGAGTGCAGTTATGGCATCTTTGTCCACACGTAGGAAAAAGAAGAAACTATACGTTTTTAAGTAGGATTGCTTTCACCCAAAGCCCCTGTCGTCTAATAAGCTTGCAAAACCAAATGACTGAGCGTGATTATTAAGAACTAGTTGTTTTTGATAGGATTTACAGAGATGCATGTTGTGACATGCAAGTGTGACATCATTTTTTAAGTATCTTTTTTTTTTAAATAAAAAACTCAATACAGCTCCAGCATGAAATGTCTTAACTTTTTATTTTTCCCCACTGGCCGACAAGGCTTTCTTTAAATTTGATTTGGGGGAAACAATGACATCTTTCCTCAGTGAGAAGGCAGCGAATTCACTCAGTTCCTATTCCAGACGTGGCATTTAAGTTTAGCTGATGTGGAGGCTGTCGATCTGGGCACTGTAAATCCAATTTCCCAGAATATTCAACATAAACACATAAAAACTAACAGCGTAGTGAAAATCTCCAGAACAAAAAGTGTTTTCTTCTATGAATTACAACAAACTGGGCATTTATGGACATTTATATCTTAGGCATTCGATACACCTGCTGCAAATCATTAGTCTAGGAGAGACAAAAGAAATGAATACGCCTAGTCCATCATAAAGATTTCAGAACAATTATCTACAAGATAATCTCTGTACAAGAAATGTGCTTCGTTCACTCCCACACGGTGGGTCTCGGTGTTGTGTTTAAATCGCGTTCACCTTCCGCTAGCCGAGCCAGAACGGCCTAGACCTTTTATCTGCCGTGACGTAACAGCACGCGGGACGGGTGACGGTACCTCCTCGAGAACATTATGTACTTTTCAATTAGTAAAGTCAACACAGGTGAACTCGGGAGTCAGGTTTGCGCCAAGTATCGCTGTAACGATAAAAAACAAATCCGCAATTAAGTCAACCTGTTTTGTCTTCTGCAAAGATTTCAAGATATGCATGTAAACCTCAGGTTTGAGCTGTGTTTCCATTTATTTGTAATCTCAGATGCTCGCCTGCGGCATCTCAATACGTTACAGTTTAACACTCGGGCGAAGCTTCGGTGTTAAATGAGCTTTATTGTCTTCGAGACTTTAGGACACGTGGATGGCAACAAATTAAAGTTGTATTTAATGCGCCCAGTTTTGTTTTTCCTAATTAGAAGAATGCAACTCCTGGATTGAGGTTCACGACTAAATCCCTTCTGTTAGTTCTGACTGTGGCGATATGGTCTTTTTCCAAGCCTGATTCCCACCCATATCACACCAGTCTTATGTAACCTCACAGCTCCGGTCTTCCATGTGCTCGTGCTTTTTTCTTCTGAGTTGCATCATACCGAACCGCCTCGTGCACCCCTCCCATCCGCACTGCCGCCTGGGTCGCACGAGGCGGTGCGAATTATGGGGGCTGTAGTTTTCTTTTCCATTATTCCCAATTCTGCACGCGGAGTATCCCCTTTTACATGGTATTTTTTTAGGAATAGAACGCATTTCAGCATACAAGGAAGTTATGTCGAAGGCGTATACCCTCGTGATGACTTTTAAAATTAACGATTGGATTAAGTGTTTAATCGTTCAATTCATGTTTTTTTTTTAATTTTACCGCTTATTCTGTTGTGCACACCAGTTATACAGTGTGCGTGTGTAGTTTCCGTGAAAACTCACACATTAATTAATACATAAAAATCAGGAGGGAATGTGTATTGCTATATAAACTAGATTTTCCCTTTCAGTCTGTTGTTCAAGTGCAATCTTGAAAAGGATGCCATCTCTGGATTTCATGGTGAATCAGGGTGTGAGCGTTTTGGAAAGTTGCATTAGGACAGAGATATCCACACCGGCGGCCGCGAATTCTACTGGGAAGTCACATTAATTAAAAATATGTATTGTTTTATTCGTGTGTGGGCTGTATCGCACGTCGTTAGGACTGCCATCGCTAAAAATCACCCGAGCGGGAAAGCACACGGCCGGACAGCGTTGTCTTCTACAGCGCTACTGTACACGGCTACTGTACCCAAAGAACGTCATTTCCCAGCATTCCACTTCCTGCCGCTCCGCGCAGGCGCAGTGAGCTTTACCCTTGCTGTTGTAAACAGACGTCAGAAGGGAGTCTTCGTCGAGTCAAAACAAAACAAAAAAAAAAAAGAGCTGCGAGGGAAAGAGTTGGGATCCGCGGACTGGGAATTAAATACAAGGACCGCAGACAGGCGCGGGCTCCCGGCGTTGAATGGGTTGCCGGTCTCCCCTTTTCGTGACGCCTAGGAGGGCGATTGCCATGTTTTTTTGAAGAGTAAAAAGTTTGGAGTTTTCGGCGGCCGCGGGGAGCGAGTTCGAGTCGGAGGTGCGCGAGACGGGCTTCTCCTCCCGGGAAGCGCGAGGCAGCGGGACTGTACGCAGAATATGGCAGACGGGGCCACGCGCCAGCCTGCCCCGAGGAGCGTGCGAACGTGAGAAGAGGGGGACACGCGGCTTCGCTTTCTCACCTGTTACTCCCGCGTGCTGACGGCGTTTGTTTTGTGCCGGATTGCAACTCTGCTGCTATGCGCTTCGTGACTCAGCAAACCTTTAAAGCTTTTCTCTGCTGATTTTTTTTTTTGTTTTGGTGGGTTTTGCTGTGGTTAGTTGGTACTCCATGGATTATCACTAAAACAAACAAAAAAAAAGGACCGGAGGAAAAATATTTGATAATATTTGGAAAATTGAAATCGTGCACTTAACACCGAAATACAAGATCGCGTTCCTGGTATTTATTTTATTAATTTCTAAAACAAAAGAGAGGATCGCGTTCGTGCATGGCGTGGGAAAGCCGCATGGATTTTAAGAAAGCAGGTTAAATGATAGGTGCTGCTGAGCGGTAGTATTTTCCTTTTAGATCTCTCCATCTCTGACTTGAAGCTGACTTTTCGAGTATGATAGAACGGTTTGTGAGCCTTGCAAGGGCTCTGTGATTCCTCCTCTTTGGGAGAAAGTACTTTGTTTACGAGACGGGAAACTGATAGCTGTCAGACCGTCATACCCGCGTAATACTGACCTACTGTAGTACAGTAATCCTTGCTTTGAAAGCGAGTGGACGTGGGGGGACGGGTTTTCCGCCGGGTTTCTGGTCACCAAAAGGGAGAAATCGCTGGGGTTGTAGCAGCCTTTAAAACTTAATATAAGATTTTGCGAAAAGATGCAAGACGTGGTAGTTCTTCAAAGAATACTCTGACTAGTGCATTCCCCCGGGGGGGCTGTATTATCTTAGTTTTAGTCACATCGGCTCCCGATCTCTTTGGTCGTTGGCTAAAAATCAAATTTTACATCAGAAAAATGCTTTGAAATTACTTTAAGGCTTCAGGTTTTTAAGGACACGTTTTGTGTCCGTGGTACCAATAATAGATTTCGCGCCGCTGTGCTCTTTAGATACAGGTAGGCTCTCGGGACCAGTCGTTTGCCAGGGCCGTGTCTGATGCGTGCGAACCGCTGGCCAGATGTTTTGATGAGGTTCTCTTTGTTCCCCTCATACCAGCTAAAATCCTGACCAGACGTGTCTCGCCCTCCTGTAACCCGAGAGATTTTACTATTAAGGAGATTATTTGTCCGTTCTGATCTCTCGACTGGGGGATTAGATGACGCTATATTGTCAGATCCGGATTATAGTAAATCTTCACTAGCGGCTGCTCTAATGTTACATTAAGTGGGAAATGCTTTGTGTCTGGGTGAGAGAGCGTGATTTAATTGACACAGCCACAGGGAAATAAACAGAGGTCGAGACTGAGTTGTCA